GATTCGGGGGCCTGATCTCTTACACAAACATGAAAAGAGGGTCTACAACATTCCGTTCCAAGGACTGGAGTCACTGGGTAAATATATCAATACATAAAAACAGAAAACCTTTCACCCTCTTTATGTGTCTACTATAGATCCTATCTGTAAAGGAAATTTAAGGTAAAGGAAACTACATCAATATTACTTTTATGATCTTTTTTTTACTTTTTCCCTGTATGTCTCTTTTAACCCTTGCACTGTGCGAGGTCATCACTAGGGGGTGCTGTTGGTGAGTGAGACTTTGGGTTTATTAGTCTGTTCACTTCTATTTTGTAGTGTCTTGAGAAAGATGGACAAAGCTTTATTGAAATGTTGACAATAAAAATATAACCCATGAGTGCCTATAAACCAGTTTTGAATTTATATGGATTTCTTTGTGGGTGAGCACCTGTGCATTTATCTCAAACATAGAGTGCTGTGGCTACCTTTGGAACGGTTAAATATAAAAAGATATATTTGTAATATTCACATAACACAGCCATAAAATCAATCTTAAAGAAATGCAAGAATTTTAAATCATGCTACATCAATGCTAGTTTCTAGGAATCACACAAAAAACAATCAAATGCATGTAAGTACCACCTACATATCTGAACTCATATTATTGTCAAGCAAGTCTATAAACATGGCAAAAAAACTTGTACATAATACAAATGCTGGGCTGGAATTTATAGCATATATAAATGCATGCCCAAATGAATGAAAGTAGTGCCACTAAAATGCACCCCAAACTGGTATCAGTCTATTCAGCATGCGGATAGACTGGTGCAGAACAGACAAGATTGGCTTGTCAGGCTCCAGTAGGCTTCAACAAAATGGCAGCTATCTGCATACAAAATATGGCTTCAGTTCCTGGTCTCCACCTGTAGAGAACTCCTGTCTGAGTGCCCATGGCCACCATTTTGTTGAAGATATATAAATGTATGGATGTAAATTTATTTTGTTTGGACAAGATATTTTTCTATGGATCATAAGACTCCTTAAACTGAGTAGCAGTGATGAGCCAAATGTACCCGGGTAATCTGTTTTCTTAATAATTTTTTCCACTGATGGTGGCAATGGCATACAGGTTTGCACTACAGCTATAAAGTCTGTTTGAATATGTCATAAATTCTAAGAGCTTAAGCAGGCATTTAGCATTGGTAAAAAAATATTTATAAAATATATTTTTTTAGACACTGACAGTGGAAATACCATATAGATTTGCACTATAGCTACTAAGCCAGTCTGGACAGGCTGAAATTTTTGAGAGCTTAAGCAGGCATTTCGGCTTCCTTTTTCATAGAGTAAGGAAGAACACATTTTACAAGTTTTACGCACACCTTTTTAAACCTTTGCAGAATGTCTACAATTTGGGAGAGTGAGAGAACAAGCAGATTGCACTTTACAATTACTTAATTTTTTTTCCATGCAGAAGATGGAAAATTGTAAGTATTTGGCAGCACAGCTTTTTATATCATTTTTGAGGGACATAGTGCGCAGCAGATGTATCTTTAAATAATTAAATTAGAATGTTTTTTTATGAAATATGATATAAATATTGTACCAATTTCAGACAGACAATCTCATCCTTATCAATGGAAGGCAGCCTCTTTTTTTTCTGATGCATAATCTAAAGATCATACCAATTGAATAGTGGGCAAGCTTAGTCCAGTGGTCCATTCTGTTTACCAAGTAGTCATGGGGGTAATAAATTTAGAGGGTATTTGTTTCCTCTCTTGACCACCATATGATGCTGCCACTGCTGATAGGTGCTGCCACTCCTCTGTAGTGTACCCTCTAGATGTTTTATCTTTTGCTCCCTATGTGAGGGCAGAATAAAATCATGTGACTTTCCTCTTGTAATGTGGATTGAGGAGCGTTGTCAACCAATTATGGTCCATCTCTTAATGACACGAAATGCTGTGGGGTAGCTGAACCTAGTTTCAGTGGTGTGTTCTGTTCTGCATCCTTCCCAACTGCCAGCAGAGTCGCCCAGTGGGCTGTAAATTATATGTAGCTCCCCTGCCCATACTTTCTGGTCCATGTGTCTGTGGTTATGTGGATCTTGCTGCGAACTGTGTGGTCAAGTGACGTGGGGAACATTGCCTTCCATGTGAGACTGAAGGGTAGGGATGTCCTTTTAAACAAAGAAATGGGGACTGAGAACCTATCATTGCAGTACAGCACATCCTTACTGAGCACTGGACCTACATTGTGTGAATAGCTTGATCCTGGTTCTTATTTCTAGTATGGTAGATGGTTCTTATCATATGCATATGATCTTTTTTGTGCTTTTTAGATACTAGCACTTAGTATTAATTTTACGTCTATGTTAATGTGAATAATAAAGTTTTTTTTTTATTGGATGTACCCTCCCTCTTCCTTTTATTACCTATAAAAATAGAACTGTGTTCATCTCTGAATCAAGCCATCTCAAGTAGCTGATCATATTTCACACGGGTCAATGTAAAAGTTACCAATTAGGGTCAAACCACTCACAGATGATATTTTAGTTTTGGGTAGTTGTCTCTTATTCCTCGGTGGCTCCGATAACAAGATCACTGCCTGATAATCCCAGTTCAAACCAACTTCTCTGGCCAACATTCTCTCTTGTGAAATTTTGATTCATGAATAGTTTACCACAGCCCCACCCCTGAAGTTTGACAGAAGGGAGAGTGTTGAGAAATTCAAAAGATCAGAAAACTGGGGACCCTGACAGATGTAAATCATCAATAAGGGATTGACCATGTCCACCAACAACTGAAATAACAAATCTCAGTAGTATTTTTTTAATTTTAATCATGTTTCATATAATCTTTATGTGTGTTTTGAAATCGAATGACAGAGTCCAATAATTCACACCAAATTGCCAGTGAACATGCCTTTGTGTAAATTAATAAACCCTTGACTAATAATACATATTATTGTTTGTCTTCTCTCATTTATTGTTTTTTTCCTGCCCGTTCTGGATGGAAGAGGATTGATGAGCTGTGAAACAGGCATTGCATTTGTAGACCATTTAGAACAAAAATGATTTGTATGGACTCAGTCCAGGTAATGAATGAAGATTTTCTTAGCACAAACATCCCAAAAATTGGCAAAGAGTGATAGGCAATTCAGACTGATACGCCTGTAAAAGAAGTTGAACTGTAAAATATTATCTCCTGTATTTGGCTTCCTATTATACAATTTTAATTAAAGTGACACTAAACAATATCCTTATTCTCCAAAAAAAAATCCATGCACATCAACTACATCATGGCCATGCAATCTATTTTTCATGAAATTTCTTACTGTGTTTTTCTGCCTCCTTGTAACATCTTCTATGAGCTTCTGAATCTCTGGTCTTTCCCTTCACTTATACTTTTTGGAATGAGTAGTGCATAAATATTGCAGACATGTGCACTGCTCTATTCACACTTCAAATCCCATCGTCCATAGTCCCTAGAGAGTGGGAAAGAGAGGGTGGCTATGTTCCTATTTACAGTGGGATAACAGAGAACCAGCATAGCCACCATCTAAAACAGCCTTTTTTTTTCAAATCTTTTTCTCTAGAAGAACCCTTAAAAATAGAGTTCAGATGTCAGGGAACCCCTGCTAGAATCAATTCATTGGGGGTCAGTGGGAGAAATGCCCTTTCTTTGGTGGGCAGAATTCCCCCCTTACAGACATCTAAAATTGGGGTAATACTGCTGGCTTTTCCAAGTGGCGTAGGCCTTGGAACCATGTAGACACCATCAAATGGAAGATCATTCAGCCACAACTCGGGAATCCCAAGCAACCTCTGGAGGAACCCTTGGGTTCCACAGAACCTTGGTTGAGAATAGCTGCTGTTACAAGTAGCTGGATCACAGTAGCACAAACAAAGGAGCTTGCTCACTTGTACCTACAGGTAAGCTTATGCAATACATACTAACACATTATGCTCTTAAGTTGCAGGGAGAATGTATTCTACTACTTTAAGAATTCATGTTTGAATAGAATATATTTTTTAAAACCAGAGTTTAGTGTTTCTTTAAACATAATATTCTTTCCATTTGTATTTGTGTAAATATCCAAGGATTTTCAAATGAAAACTGCATGAGGTAAGCATCACATCTTTGTTATAATAAATATAAATGTACATTTTATTTGCTTAGATTATAGGCAGACGACTTCAAATCAGGGATACTGCAAATGCTCAGTGAGATCCCAAAATGACCCCATCTAACAATTCAAGTTAAAAACAAAGGGTTTAGTTGCACACATTTGCAAATGCAAGAGCACAATGGGCACTGAAGACATCCAGTGTGTCCAGTGTTGGGACAAGGTCATCTAGCTCCCAGGGTGAAGATCTATGAACATTTTGTGTCAGCAAAGAACCCCTCCCTCCTCCCCCACTAAAATATTCAAGCACTATAGGGAGCTATAGGATCACACCTTTGGAGCTCTGCACTAGAGATGTCACAGGCTGTCAGATTGCTACTGTGCAGTATTTGCTTGAAGGAAAGGGGGGAGGATAAACAAACACTGCAGGGGTGATCTGGCAGTTGCAATCCAGGAGTGCTGCAGTGGCAGGTAGAAAAGCTTAAGGGGAGAGAGAGCACAAACCGTCTCTTCTCCCAGCTCTTTCCTCCTCTCTAGATCTGGCTTGTCTCTTCCAGAGTTAAACTGACTAGAGTAGCAAAGCTGCCATCACTACTCCTGTCAGCTTGTAGGTAGGAACTCTCCATGTGGTTCCCCCCATTATATGATACCACTACGCCCAGGGCAGCCAACCCTCCAGCCCACCTCTTGTCCAAGCCCTGAGTTTGTGTCCATGCCAAATACAGATAACAAGCTATACAAAAAAATGGCAACCACCCCAATTTATAACTAGCCTTTGCAGCAAGGTACACATCACAGACAAACTAAAAAATTCTGAGCACACTTACCAGCTAGACTGCAAAAAACCCAAACTGACGCTGTCCAACAACTCATGATAAAAACAAAGAGTTTAGTTGCATACAGGGGTGGACTGACCATTTGGAAACTCGGGCACTGCCCGAGGGCCCGGGGTCAGTAGGGGGCCCCATGAGATGCCCCTGGTACCTTTTTCATAGGCTTTTTTTAGTTTGGGCAAGGACACAGGGGCCCCATGATCCCCTATTGCCTGGGGGCCCCATGAGTTGTCAGTCCGCCCCTGGTTGCATACATTTGCAAATATATGTTAAAGCTATAGTGCCTAGCCAAGGCTCCTCTATATACTGTGATGCTCTTTATTTGAGAGTCTCCAAGTTGGAGTAGCAGTGAACAAATTAAGGGCAGGTTTGCGTGGAGATAGCCCACGTCTAGTTAATCAGGCCCCTTTTAATGGACGATCTGTAGTGCTGTTTATTGTATCTGTCTTTGCACTGTATGGTCTGATATTGAAACACATCTTTCCATCCTCAGCAGCCACTCAACAGGGATGAAGTGCACAAAAAATTATTTCAAAATGAAATCTTATCACATCAAAACAGGCTGCCATTGTACTGACATTTTAGTCCAATTAAGCCTTAAAGCTGATCACCAGCTTTACTGTCACTTTACATAGTTTTTTTGGGCTAAGCTGGCCCAAATGAACTATTTCCTGCATTAACAGGTGCGCCTACTGGGCCTGCTGTGCAAATTGTATTTAGCCTCAGCTACATACAGTATACAGCCTTGTGTTCCATCTGTGAGAGAAGAACTTCTTGTCTTACTCTCGAGACAAAATAGAATTGGACTGAGCAGTGATCAGCCATTCATAGGCAGAATTGTATTCTATGAATGAATACAAAATGTTGCCTTATTGCCTGAGATGGAGATGTAGGCGAATGACATCATGATCTCTGATGTGTTCAGAGAATACAAAGCTACTTTTGAATGGCAGAGCACGGCTCAGCCTGTCGCTATCTTGTTCCAGATGTAAGACAAGAAGTTCTAATCTCACAGCTGAAACACAAGGCAGTATACTGTATGTGGCTGTATACAACAGGTCCATGGGGTCACTTGTAGGAAATAGTTAATTTGGCCCAGCTTGGCCCAAATGAACTATTTAAAGTGACAGTAAAGCTGGAGATAGGCTTTAAATAAGGCTTTCTAGTATATTCCATCCAGATAGATCATATGATTTTCACATTTGAGCTTTGAAGAAGGAGGAAGCTTTATCCCTTAAAACATGATGGATTTACATGAGCTTACCCCAAATAAACATGTTCAAATGATTCACCAAGCCATATGTTTTTATTTATTTACTTCCAACATCCAAGCATAGATCATCTGATGAATGATTCATCCACAGTGATCAGAAGAGACAGCAGTCCCCATACACTGTTATTTCACTACAGACTCACTATATATATATATATATATATATATATATATATATACAGGGGCGGACTGACCATTTGGAAACTCAGGCACTGCCCGAGGGCCGGGGGTCAGTAGGGGGCCCCATGAGATGCCCCTGGTACCTTTTTCATAGGTTTTTTTGTTTGGGCCCATTGATCCCCCGGGGGGCCCCATGAGTTGTCAGTCCGCCCCTGTATATATATATATATATATATATATATATATATATATATTTTTTTTTTTACTATGCTAGTTTTAGGCAGGTGTGAAAAAATGGTGTAAATTAAGAAAGCTTTCAGAAATAGAAATGTTAATAATTTATTTTTAGCAATTATCAGAATGAGTAAAAAAATGTAAATGAACAGAAGAGAAACCAAAATCAAATCAATAGCCCTTTCAGAAAGAGCACCAAAGCCACAAGATATAATAGAAGTCTATGGCTTAGTGCAGCTAACCCCCAGAAAACCCATGGGGGCACTGCTCTACCCTCGTGGATCAGTGTGAAAGCAGCCTAATATTGGTAACCCTTATATAGGTGCAAATATGCCCATTGCAAAAGCAGAGCGCATGTGTTGCTTAATACACTGACCTTCATTTCCTCTTCTGTTTCTGCTGGCATCACTCTCCAAGCCGCTAGAAAGGTCCCAGGCGAAGTGCGCTTGGAATCACTTCACCTGGGACAGGACCCGGCACTGCAGAGGAATCATCAGCTTTTGCAGCTCCTGCTCTCTCTGTGGCCATCTGCTTCCTTGCTGTCAGCGCTGTATCAATACATTCTGATGCTCTGGGATGGCAGGTCAGCAACCCCAGATTGCAATGAACAGGTTGACGACGTTGGGCATACGCTTCCCTGATTGAGGTCGAGGTTCACATCTGAGGGCCACAGGTTGAGCACGTCTGTCTTACAGCCTGACAACAAGCTGAAATTTCAGATCTAATATAACTAGATCCCAGCATACACTATTCAGATTCTTACAAATGTCTATCCCTTATTCTCATTCTCTGTAAGTATGCAATGTCTTCCTTCTTTGCACCATGTTCTAGGCATTGCGCGTGCATTTAGAATATGTATAAAGTGCCATTCTTCACCTGTTTTCATTTATGTCTATTGATAGAAAATAGTCTGAGTGTGGATTTACCTACTTAGTTAATGTTTCTTCTCTGGCTGCAAGTTAATTTTCAAGAACATACGGAAAGGAAAATTCTAGCTACAAATCTACCATAATCAGACCATGATTACTTTACATTTATGACTGTCATTGCATTTACAAACCAGTATCCATATTCCTCTAGCTAATGGTATTTAATCTCTAGCATGTGCACACAGGCGCCCTCTAATGGTTTATGCTGATATAGAGTGATAGCTCTTTCTTCAAGGCTGCTGCTTGGCAGTAGGATTGCTGCCAGCACATATCATTTTCTTCTGTGCCTCAATGAGTTTTTCTTAATGATCCTTCCTTTCTCACTAACAAATAGATTGAAACGTTGTATTTAAACAGTTCATTTCATCTTAACTGTAATTGAATCGAATCCAGACACCAAAAGCAAAGCAGGTGTTACAGGCAGCAAAACAAGGATATTGTTGGGTTATTAGTATGCCTTTACCTCTTTAGCTTTTTAGGTCAATGTTTGTTGCATAAAAGAGAGAATATTGAAAAAATGCAATAGTTATGTAAAATGAATATGCAAAGTACACCTTCCATTACTGAAGTTATAACGTGCTGGTTCACATTGGTGCGAGTTCTGATGCGACCTGAGTGGCAAGGGAAATCACAATATTTTGAATGGTGCCCACTCGCATCAATGCAACTCTGTGTGGTGTGATTTTGGAAAAGGTTCCTGTGTTTCTTTGGTGTGATTTAGCTCCATAGAATATGCTAACCATATCCAAAGCAGCATCAAAGTCGCACTGAAAATCACATCAAAACTGCATCACAGTAGTGTGAACTGTGCCTGTGACAAATGTATTGTCAGTATTCCCATCACACACGTTCCTGGACATGAGCTCATCATTAGCAGAAACTGGGCTCATCATAAACCAACACACATATTCGCCAGCACACCATGGGTTGTCAAATGTCATCCAAAGCTTTTACTGTAGAAAGATCACATCATAAAGGACCAAGAGAAAAGTTTCAGAGCCACACAGGACCCTTTAACACTGAAAACATTACGCTTGGTCCTTTATCATGTGATCTTTCTTTCAATAAAAGCTTTGGTTGACATTTGACGATCCATGGTGTACTGGCGAATATGTGCGTTGGTTTATGAAGAGTTTATGAGGAGCCTAAATGTGTGACATAAGGGATACATCCAGTTTTCTGCAACATAACTTCAAGATTTAAGGTGTTGGCTTCACCATTATATTAGCATTCCTGCATTACAGAGCTTGCATCCTGTTTCAGCCTATATACAGTGTAATATATATATATACAGTGTTTTGCAGTTGACACTTATGTTGTATAAAGTTAAAGCCTAACTCAGGCAAAATACATTTCCTTGTTTTAGAGAGAGTGGGAAAGACTTTGAATACTGGGCAGGTGTTTTATTATTGTCTATTACTCATTCACCTGAGTGTATAAATTTAGGTTTGAGCTATTGATCTCTTTGAACAACAGGCTGATAGACAGATATGGAGAGTCACGAAGACATGAGTAAAGGAGCTGAGTACCTGCTGTTTGCATACATTATCCAAATATATTTAGTTAAAAAGAGTCTTCAGAGGTGAACGTACAGGGAAGATTCTGTTTCGATGAGGAACAAGCTCGTCGTCATTTCTATCCATATATAACTCGGTCACCTTAATCCAATCACCATGGAATGTATTAAAGCAGATGTTAATTGTGCTTGGTATGTTATATCATGACCTTGATAAATGAAAACTTTTACAGATGTTTATTTCCATTAAATTAAAGGAAAATGCATGAAACTCCTGTCGTACATTGCTGCGCATTGCAATGTATTATGTACTGCAGATCACTGCGCCATAATGCACATGAATGTGGATTATTGTTTCTGCATCAACGCACATTATAATGCGCGTGACAATACAAGTTGTTATGTGTTTTGATGTGATTCCATTGGCTTCAATGGAGTACTCATCTTGCCAAAACATGCAAAAATGGTTTCAGCCTATTAGTAAGTTGACCCTAAATAAAAGGTGGATTGTTGTGTTTTTTTTCCTAACCCTTCTACCATTTTTCTGTTTTCTGCACAGCTGCTCATGGATGTGGCCAGCTTATCCAGGATTGTACATCTCATGCTGTTTCATGTTCCATCAATACAAAGGCTGAAGCTATGCTGGTCTGGGAAGGTCTTACAAATGGGATGTTGGCTGAACATGCTGGTATGCTGTGAATTGGCACATCAGTCTCTAATCTGCAGTGGGATTGTGTATCCTAGAGCTGCAAAGCATGACACACACTGAATGTTGCCAACCTAGGGCAAGAAATAACAGAAACAGTTCCTACTGGTATGAACACTAGGTACAAATGAAAGGAAAGTAAGCCTCAGCGCTTAAGGATGATAGGCCATTACCATTTACTGTTTTCTTTATTTCTGGGTTTAGCTACCTTTTAATGCTTTTCAAGATGGCATAAATACAAGTTGTTTGAGTAAGTAACTGGTAAGGAAAATTCTGTGTTTATTTTTAGTGATTTTTACTATTGAAGCAAGGTATTTGTCATTAAAAATCTCATACACAATAAGAAAAATTCAGATGCATAATCCTTTACACATTTCTTTGTTATAATCAAACATATTGATCAAAAAATGAATGCATTTTAAGCAAATTTCACAAATACATAAGCAGCATGAATACACAGAACACAAAAGGCATTATACTGCAATTTTTCTCCATTTGGTATGAACACTGCTTTAATTTCAAACTCAATTCCCTATTCTCTGTGACTGTGATTGGTCTTCTCCTAAAACAACACACTTATGTATGTGTTATAAATCCCAGTTGTTCTAAATCTCGTGTTGTAATATCTCATTACACACCTC